AAACACCTTGACCTTTAAAATCAAATAAAATTATGAACGAAAATAACCCCTTATTTAACAAAACAAACCTCCTTATTCTGGGAGCCATTATCGCCGGAATTGCCCTCCTTTATTAAAAACCCTATAATTCAAAACTTTTGCTCCACTTGCCTAGAATTCATCTAAACTATTTAACACTAACTCACTTCACTAAATGATGAATTCACAAAATAAAAAAAACTAAAGAAGTAATGGAGCCAATGACTAAGCAAATTAAGGATCCGGTTGACATTTGAGTCATTAAAGCACTTAAAGCACTAATAATACCCGTGACTATTCCGGAAAGAATCCAAAGAACTATATAAAGAATAAATCTTTTTTTATGGTAACTTTTTTTACTCTCTCTCTCTCTCTGCGTTTTGGTCTAGTTCATTCGTGTTAGCAGTTATTTCCTTGGCTTGAGCTAGGTAAGTTAGTTTGAAGGATTTGAGCAGTTTGTTCTTGGATTTGTAAATTCCCTAGTTGGATTCCTAATTGTCTGACTTCTCTTTGTTTAGTTTGAATTAAATTCTGCAATTCTTGGCGAGTTTTAAAATGAAATTTTTCTTGGTTAATCAGATTAGTTAACTGTTCTATTTCGCTTTTTTTATTTTCGACTTGGCTAGTTAGATTTTCATTTTTAAGTTTTTTGATTTCTCGTTTTAGAGAAGTAAAATTAAAACTATTTCTATTTGGCAGAACAATGTCATTAATTTCTTTTAATTGAATTAATTCTGAAGCCGGCTGCTCGTTTGCTAGCTTTTGTTTCGACAATTCGTTAACTCTTGCTTGCAACTGCTGAATTTCTCCATCTTTCTCTTCATTAATTTCCTTTAGTTTGCTTTCTCTTCATTCTTGAGCTTTTTGGAGAGCTTTTTCAGCTTTTTCTCTTTCTGTTTGGAGTTCTTCTTTTAATTTTCAATTTTCTTGTTCACTATTACTAAGTTTTTCTCTCTCTTCGCTTAGTTTTTTTCATGCTGTTTTTAGATCAAGAGGATTATCTTCTCTTCAACGTTTTACGCTAAAATATATTTCGGTTTCTGAGTATGTTCCCTCAAAACCTCCGTATTTGTCTCACATATCAAAATATTTCTCTATGTTTGACCATGTTTTTTTGACCTTGTTTTCTTCTCAATTTCTATAGTTTTCAGCATTCTTTTCTGAATCAAAGTTAACTTCTTTTAAGGTAATATTTTCTAGTTTTTCAGGTAAATTTTCTAGCCCAGCATCAACCAAACCAGTAAATTGATCATCATTACAAAATAAATTTTTTAAATTATCAAAACCTTCCAACCTAAAAGAACCTTCCAAGTCTTGTCATTTAATATCTAAATAACTAATTTCTTTTCTTTTTGATCCTTTATTATGCCAGTCCTCAGAGTTTTGACATCTGCCGTTTTTCGGATAGTTTTCATCTAACCATCGCTGAGCATTAGAAAGTTTTACTATTCGTATCCCTTCGGATTTATTCTTAAAATTTATTCTACTTTCATCCACGGATTGAGAAATACTTATTTTTCATAAACTAATGAAATCAATTAAATCTAACTCTCCTGTTAAATCTGATTCGTTAAGATGTAATTCATAGACATTGGTTCTTTTTTCCTTAGGATACTTTTCATCCAATCATTTTTGTGCTTCTACCATAATATTTATTTTTACCAAATTTCAGCCAAAAATATAATTATAGAATTTCAACATGGTTAAACTCTCCTATACGTACCCAAATATCTTGTAATAATTATTCAAGGATATTTAATTCAATTCGAACTTAAATAGATTTGTTTTTCTTTTTCCCTAATCAGTAGCCAATTGCTAAAACTACTAAACCAAACAATACCAAGCCACCAACTAAATAAAAAGTATTGTTGTTAGAATCCTTTACCGGAACTTGACTGTTTTGTTCTGCTTTTGGTTTAATTTCTGTTGGCGGTTGCTTTTCTTGAACTAATTCTTGTAAATGAACTACATGAGCGTTATGGGAAGCATGACCACGATTAACTAACTGTTGAGCATACTCTAATAAGTCCATTAAAACCGTGCCTTGTTAGGAGATTACTCTAAATTTTTTTTCTTTAATACTTTGGACTGACTTGCTAAATTGTGAACTAGTTAGGTCATTTAGGTTTTTAGCTATAACTGGATTATTCTCAACATTTAGGCTTTCCAAATTAGGAAAATTAGTGAATAATCAGTTAAAAGAGGCAAATTTTAACTGATTACCAAAGAAGTTAAGTTTTTTTAGTTGATTTTTATTTGGAAGAGAGTTCAAAAATTCTAGGTTTTCAAACTTATTATTATAAGAATTTAAACTTTGGAGGGCGGTAAATTCACTTAAATCGGCATTGCCGGCTAAATCTCGGTTGCTAATGTCTAAATATTTGATTTTGGCTTTTTTGGTGATTTGGTTCAAATGTTCTTGAATATTATTCATATAAATAATTTTTAATTATTTTTATAGTTTGGCTTTTCTTTTATTTCATACCGCTAAAAATAAATCTTTATTCTTGACTACTAACTTTTTTATTTCGCTTTTTTCTTCCTCGGTCACTCACCCTTTAATTTGCTTAACCGTAATTTCCTCCTTAGTTTTTTGATTGGGCTTTGCTAATCAGAACTGGATTTTGCCATATTTGGCTCCGCAGACATGAATATGAGCAGGTTTATGTTTTTTTAAGGGTTCTCCGGAATGAAAATAAAACTGGTAACCACTTATCTTTCAAGTTGGCATAAATTATTCGCAATCAGCATCAAAGCCATTTGTAAAACTTTTTATTCCCACTACTTCATCAAGGTCCGGAAAATAAATCTCATCTCCTTCTCAAATCTCATATTTTTTCAACTTTTCGGCACTAACTCCCTCTACTCCTCATTTAGCAAATCAAGCAATCGGGATACTTAATTCTCGTCCATCATTTAGTTGGGCGGTTATTTTTTCTAAATGAATTGCTAAGTTAATTATTTTAACTTCTTCTTTTTTGGCTTTTGGAGAGGTAATTGTTGGCTTGCTTACTCTTTCTTGGGTTCTAGTTCGCATATAAGTTTTTTTACATTGATTAACTTGCTAAAATGTGACAACTAAACTTTTTTCTTTTAACCTTTTGGCCATTCTGTAAAAAAATAACAACCATTTCGTTTTTGGTGGATAAATAATGAGTTGTTTCCTCATTTGTCCGTGGTTAGTCTGTTTTTACTTATTTTCTTGTAATCATTTTTCCGTTTTATCTTTTTCTTTTTGGTAGTCTTTTAGTTGTTTTTCTAGTCTTTCTAACTGTTTAGTAAGATATCTATGCTGGCTAGTTAGTTTATAAATTTGGGTATTAAGAAAACGAACATATTCTTTTTTACGAGTAATTTCTTCGGGGGTGGGTTTAGTTGCCATTAATAGATTTTTGGTCTCGGTCAAAATTATCTATTTTTTCATGTTTGGTATCATTTATTCTCAGTTTCTTTCTCTTTTTCGCTTCTAGGAAATTGCCACCAAGCACAGCTACAACAGAAAAGTTTTGGTTCTCCTTGATAATTTACTAAATAAAGCGGATTATTGTAAACTCCGCAAAAAGCACACTTTCCTCCAATAGTTAGTGGTTGCTTATTTAGTCCTTGACAATAAAAGCAATTAATTAACTTTTCTTTCATGGTGGGGGTTTAAAATTAGGTTGAATAATTTGAGCTTTCATTTCGCTTCGCTCTTTTTCTAACTGTTGATAATAATTGAACTTTTGCCATTGAGTAAGTAAGCGAACCACATTTTTTATCTCTCCGGTTAGTTGGTTTAATTGTTTTTCGGTCGTTTGTTTATCTTTAAGAGCTATTTGGTAAGTATTTTGGAGGTGAGAATAGTTTTGTTCGTAAGCCTGGATTTGTTGGGTTAAAATAGTATTAGTTTCTCGTAAGGATTGGTTAATTTGCCTTTGAGTAAATAAATTACTTTCGGCGGCTATTCTTTTGGCTTGCTCGCTAGTTGGGATTTTTGTTGATCTAAATTAGTGTTTTGCTCGCTTAAATGGTTTAAATTTCCTTAATTGGCGCACGCCCCAGCTTGCTTCCTGTCTTTTTAAAGCCATCTTCTCTGACTTCAAAAAATCAAATTTTCTTGGTTTGTCCCCCGTGTCTAAAAATAAGTATACTTGTTGGTTGACCTGTGTAAGGCCGAAATACAAACTCATGAAGTTTTATAATTGCTATAACTTCACAATTTTGTAGAAGAATTTTTCGAATTTTAACATATTCTAGGTTTTCATCAAATAACAAACCTTCCGGAACTATCACTCCTGCAGTTCCCTGTTTTTTTAGAGAATCAATAACATGTTTTAAAAAAATAGGATTTGCATCCTTGCTTACAAAGCCGTATAGAGAAGAATAATCAGTTGTTTGGGAAAAAGGAAAATTTGTTAAAACGATGTCGTATTTGTCGCGAACTGGAAATTCTAAGCTATCCATTTGCCTAATGTTGTTGTGACCATCGCCAATTATAATCATGTTCATTTTTGCTATTTTTGTTGTCCCAGATATTTCTCTCCCGAAAATGGTTTCTTCCTTTAAAAATTTTAAGTTTTTTAAGTTTTGCTTACACTTGTTTTTGATATGTTTAAAGGCTTCAATTAGAAATCCACCAGTTCCACAAGCTGGATCATAAACAGTTTCACCAAACTTTGGGTCAACGATTTCGACTATTAATTTAACTATATGCCTAGGCGTAAAATATTCACCGAGATCATTTCCCACGCTAACTGAATTTTTCAAGAAATATTCAAAAGCATCTCCTTTAATATCTGAATCGGCATCGAGCAATCTCAAAGGGCTTAACTTTTCAATGATATTTTTTAGAGTCTCGGGTTTCTCAATAAGTAGTTGCTTTTGAAATACTTCTCCGCTGTGATTATATTTTCCAGCTAAACTGGGGAGAACTGTATTGTTAATATATTGCAACATCATTTTGGGTTCAAAATTACTAAAAATATAATATGGGATTTCTATTCCTAGTAATTTCCATTTAACAGGTCAAAAGTTAGTCCGCGGTAGCCAACACCTAACTTAATCCAATTACAGATTTAAAGTTAGCCGTTGGTCTTTCGGGTCCGGGTTCTCCGTTATCCAAACCGGTTTGGAAGTTCCTAAATTTGGTAATTCAAGTTTAGTTTAAGAAGCGTTTAACTTAGTTATTCGTCTTCGAACTGCCTAACTTTTGTATTGTTATGGATTCCAAAAGGAACCACAGGGTAAATGAATTAATCCCTGTGTTATACTTATTAGCACTTTTTAAAAAGGTTAATTTAGTTAGTAGGTATAACAAAAGGATTAATTAAGCCTATTTTCAAGCAAAATTAGCAAGAATTTAAAAATTTTATTTTGTTAGTTGAGAAGGATAATAGTTTCGGCGTGTATTATACTACTCAAATAGCCCAGTAAACTAATAGGAACACACCGATATATTAGCAACCTTTCGCTTACTGAACTGTTTCAATAGATAATATATATAATTTTACTCGTAATTAATTTTAGCAAGCAACATCCTTTTGGTTGGAATTAAAAACTTGTCAATCCGAGACTTTTATTTTTTTATAAATCAGAGAATATTATTAACTTTGTTTAGGAAGAATTTTGATTTGGGTTTGCTGTAATAAAATATCTAATCACTTTCTCGATAATGTGCCACTGCTCTTTCTACTATTTCGACCATTAAGCATTTTTTTTTTAAGGCTAAATCTTTTAATTCTCAATAAAACTTTTCACTAACTTTAAAATTTAATGGTTTGGTTCTAATATTTATTTCTTTTTGCTTTCGCGGAGCCACTTCGGGAGCTTGTAAGTTAACACTAGCTTCGGTTGGAACTGTCCCGAGTTTTTGTCGTCGCAACTTTTTTCATTTATTCATATCTTTAAATCTTTATTTCTTTATATATTTATTTTTATGCTTTTCAATCGCCTCTTTTATATTCCGTAATAAACTCTTTTAACTTCTGTAAAGCAACTTTATTTTTAATCAGTAAAAGTCAATTACCTGCTATTCCATGCTGTTTTTTGTTAAAAGATATGCCACAATCGTCTAACATTCTTTTTAAATTTTGAGAAATTTCATGCAAACTTTCGAAATTTCAGTAAACATTAACTTGCTTGGTTCTAATAATTAACGAAACTAATACTTTATTCGTAGCCATATCGTAATACCGAATCCTAGGATGATAATCCTCTTTTAGCCAAACCTCTTTTCTTAAATTTCCAAGAGAAAGGATAAATTTTTCTATCTCTTCTGACCATTCTTTTGCCTCCTGACCAACTCATCTTTCTTTATCCAAAATTTGAGATATTCCTTGAGTTGTAAACTCGGTTTTTTGTGTTATTTCTCTTTCCATTCCCTCTAATTTCAATCACTCTGGGATTTTTCCTCCTATTATTCCCATTACTAAAATATCCTCCTCAAATTTATTAATTTCTACTAACAAAATCCTCTTTTCTTCTTCCTCATCTAAACTACTCTTTTGGAACTTGTTAAACCCAGGAGCTATACAAAAAATCCTTACCTCTTCTCAGTTTATATCTTCCTTTTCTAGAAGTTTATTTTCAAGCAATAGTTCATTTTTAAGTAAGTAAGAATTTAACAAATGTAATAAATTTCCTTTATCAGCATTGTTTTTCTTTCGTCTCAAAATATTAATGTATGTTCTACTTTGGTCGAGTAATCTATCTGAAACATCTTTTTTGAACTCAAAAAGAATAAAAGTTTTTATTTTTCCGTCATCAAAAAAGCCCACATCATCCACTCGGAACCCCTCATCTTTTTCATCACGTTTTTCAAAACTATATTCATCGGATATTCAAATTAAATTAGGGAAAATTGACTGCAAATTATTCTCAAAGAATTTTTGAACATCCCGTTTTTCATTTTGAAACGGAACTCATTTAATTTTCCTAAAAGGATTCGCTTTATACAAAAATTTTTCTTTATACATAATCTAAAATACTCTCTATTAACTTCTTAGCTTGCTTCCGCAAAGTTTTATAAGCAGTTTCGGTAATACTTTTGCCCTCATTTTGAATGGAACGAAAAGAAACTTTTTCCGGTAAAACAATCGGTAAAAAAGAATAACTAGTTTCTTGTAAATATGCTTGGGCGGCTTCGGCTTCGGCTTGGCTACCTATATGATTAAGGATAAATAATAATTTTTTCTTATTAACTCCTGCTTTAAATAAAGCATTAAATTCTTTCACTGCTGGAATTAAATCATCCCTACTTGCTCCCGTCGGCTGAATTACTAAATCAGCTTTTTGGGCGATTTCCAGGGTGGCATGGCTAGTTCTAGCCGGACCATCAATAATAGTTAAATCATACTGGTTAGCTTCCCTTAATGCTTGTTGAGCAGTAGCAAATACTTTTACTTGGAACTTACTTTTTTTTCGCAATTGTAATCAGTGATAACTAGTGGCTTGCTGAGGGTCACAATCAGCTAATAATACTCTTAATTTTTGCTTGGAGGCTTCCACGGCTAGGGCGCGAGCCAGGGTAGATTTTCCTACTCCTCCTTTTTGGGAGATGAATGCGATTATAGTCATATTTATAATTTTATTGTTATATCTTTATTTCTTTAAATCTTTATATAAAAATAAACTTTCCGAGCAAAAAACTTTTTTGTCCTAGTTTGTTTATTGGTTAATGTAAATTTCTATGTAAATGCCTTTATTTATTCAAATTTTGATAAAAGTCTCTTATTCATAAAATATTAGGGTCGTGGTTTTCATATCAAAAAATTAGGTTGTATTTCTTTCCTTGATAAGGATATTTAATTAAAGCGAAAACTTTTCGCTTATGAGTTCCAGGTCATTTTATGGGTTCTAAATTTTTTTCTTTGCTTAAACTTTCAATGACAAAATGGGCAATAAATTCATAAGTAAATTCGGGGTGAGATATTTTGAAATGGGGTTCGATAAACATTCCTTTTATCTCTAAATAACTATTTCTTCCTCTCCCTCAATTTCACTAATAATCCCCCTACACTAATTAAACTAACCGTTAATAAACTAATTCAAATTCACCGTTCATATTTTATTTGGCTTGGCTCTGCTCCAATAGAACTTAACTCCATAGGTTTAATTATTTCTTGGGTTTCACTTTTTTGGGCTTGGACTAATTTTTTAGCTAAGTAACTATTTCTAACTGCCACTAATTGCTCATAATTTTGGCTTTGTTTAATTTGATAAATAAATTCTTCTTCTAATTGATTAGGCAATAATTGTTCCAAACTTTTGATTTCTAAATTTTTAATTGTGGCTAAATCTCCGCCAAACGGAGTATCTTTTTGGGATAATTCTTTTTCTAACTGCAAAATAGTTTGTTGAGCTGCTTGTAATTGTTTATCAATAGCTTTATCAGTCGCCGGCGAGGAATAAAGTCCAGAGTTAGAAAAACTACTTGGCGGTTTATGAATTAATTCTTGAATTTTGTTAATTACTTGCTTTAAATTAGGGTTATTTAAACCTAAATTTAGCGATTGATTAAGTTCTTGAAGGATTTTTTGCTCGTCATTATCTGGCTGAATATTAACTGACGGTTGACGGTTGTTTTGTTCTTTGTTTTTTTGATAATCCACAAGGGAATTAGGAGAATTATTCATTGGGGAAGTTTGGCTTTTATTACGTCAATAATCTCTTTCTTTTAGGGCTTGGTCGCGTTCTTGCTGAACTTGTTTTATTTGCTCAACTAAATTGTTTGCTTCGGCAGGGATATCTTCTTTCTGAACTAACTTTTCTAAATTTCAACCAATTCCTACACTAAGCAAACATTGAGAAATTTCTTTTAGCCAATTGATTTGCGTGGCAGTTGTTTGCTGTGTTTTTGCTTGGTCAGCTTCTAATTTAGTAATTTTTTGACCTAATTTTCTGACTTTTCTTTGGGTTCTAACTAATTCTTGTTGAGAGTTGTCTAGTTGTTGGTTTAAATTTTCTAAATTAGCGTAGGCAGTGTCCCGTTCATTTTTATAATTATTTAAATCATTTTTAACTTGACCATATTTACGAGTTAAAGTAGCTAATAGAGAATCTTTTTGTTGAATAGTTTGCGTAGTGCTTTTAATCTCCGTTTCGGTCTCCGTTTCCGTGAGCGTCGCCGTTTCCGTTTCGGTTGGA